TGTAGTGGAAATGAAAACGACTAAACATACAGAATTCTTCTGAGACGTATAAGAATACAATGTTGGAAATAGTAGAAAATTAAAACTACTGAGAGAGTGTTTTGACTGAGGTCGTTTTTCAAGTAAAAAAAATACACACAATTGAAGAAAAGTCTATGTTTATACATATCTTTACTCACAAAACCGTTTTTTTCCACTTTCAATTTTAAAGGTTTATGGTAAAAATCACATTTATTCTACAGATGGAAAGACGTTTTAAAGCTGAAAGAGATAAAAGATTAATGACAGAGAATCCCCGGCAGAGAGAAATAAGAGCGAATGAATGATTGTGTGATCACAATAGCAGTATATTAACTTACAGCTGCAATGACAGCATGAAGAACCATCTGTAGCACAAAGAAAGCTAACCTTCACTGAGTGATAGGGTGAAGAGAGTAAAACAAATGATCTGACCTCTGGTTATGCAAGTGCTAGAATTCACTTGTGCATAAATCTTTCAGCTTTCTCAGATAAACGAACAGGCATTTGCCATCCATCAGAGCAATAGACAAAGAACACAAACATGGCACGAAATAGAACGTGAGAAATAGAGATTGAAGAAATAGGGGCAGTTTTTGTTTTTGAAGTCGTGTGCCAGGAAGGGGCCATGTTTGAAGGCCTTCTCAGTGATTTAATTAGGTCTTTGTGGGTAAATTTGTGGGATGGGCTGTTTGAGATGTTTAATGAAAGGATGATAGTAATTGGTGCGCTGATAGGATACAGCTCTATTCTCTTACTTGTATTCTTAAGTAAATGAAAAAGGGGGAAAGCTAGTAAAAAGGGCCTACTTTCCCAGTTTTGTTTTGACTGCTGGGGTGACGCCAGACTCAAATTGGTTTAGCTGCTGAGACAAAAACTGCCAGTTGACCTGACTAACAGTTTTCCTAAAAACAGAGGCATGACCTCTGACCTTTCCTCCTTTCAACACCCTTTACATCTATCAATATCTTACACAGAAATATTAGTTAGTAATAAGTAGCAAAAAATGAAAACAGCTTTATTCATATATATATATGAATAAAGCTGTTTTAATTTTTTATATATATATTAGAGCCCAGCCGATATTATCGGCCGGTATGAGCCTGTCACCGATATATCGTATCGGCGAATATGCCGCCGATATGAATTTTTTTTTTACAGAACATATAACGCAGATTAAATGCTTCTGAATGGTGTAATAACTAGTTTGTCCAGCTGAGCGCGCTCCATTGTTTGCTACTGGCGACCCAGGTCAGTGTAGTGTAGAGATACGCAGATGAGCTCAAACTTCACCCAAGTCCGCTGCTTCAAATTATCCGCCCGCCACCCACCCGCACCTATATTTGATCGTCACATTACAATGACTCTAATTCTTAGTTTTGCATGATGATATGATGAATGGATGGTTAATTTTTAACAGCAGATTCAGTGATGTTAGAGACTAGAGCTGATCTGCGCATCACGGCATGCATCTGCGGCGCATTAAAGCCTGTGTTACGGCCACCGGAGCTGATCGTGGCCACTCAGTCAATGCTGGTGTTTATTCCGGCTGCGCCGCGGCCCTGAACTCATGCTTATCACATCGGTCACATCACGTCGCGCCATGCCGCTCGCATCCGGTGTAGAATAGAACCCATTATAATCAGTGATGTTGTCTACACTGTACACAGTAAACTGATGCCTCGTTCTATTTATGATGTGCTGACACAAAGTTCAGATGATTTTTAACGGTCGCTTTGTCGTGTCCTGTTGCGGCGCAGACACGGTGTCAGCATAGTTTGTCAGTACAGTCAGTAACGTAGCAAATTGAAAAGTTAGTATCTTTCTGCAGCCCAATAGACGGCAGTGCGGTGGTGGCTTGAGTCTGTTGAATGGTGATTTAATGCTACGTTGTCACCCGACGCAATGCTAAGTAAATAAACAACAATGTCTCCATCTTTTACTCTCACAATGAGCTTATCATATTCGTTTGCTACATTAGTAGGGCCCTATGATTTTCGCGATGCAGAAAACATATATATTTAAAAAAGTGTAGGAAAATGTCATCTCCAATTAAAAGCTTTAATTTTTCTAAGTTTTTACCATAAATTCTTATATACTGCATGACCAAATCTAAGTGACATCCGAACACCACACCCACACTTGATGCTTGATTTTATAAACCTGGTAGTAATAGGCTGAACCCATTAATTAGGGGGTGTCCAATGTCCACATAATTTTTGCCATTCATGTGGCAAAATGTGGTATTATACCACTTTAAAGGAAAGCATAAATATTAACTGGAAGACTTCAATCAGATCATAAAGTTCCATACTCTGCAAATAGTGAAGTCAAGTAAAAAGGGAGAAAAAGCAGGTTTAAACTACTAATATAAACAATAAGAGTCTGGTTTATTTATTCACACTTTAGCTTAGACTGCTTCAGTAAAGAGTGTTTTGATTGGTGGATTAAAAGCTCACGGAACATTATGAACATTATTGGCTGAACGGAACATCCTCCAAAAAAAGATATTTATGAATCTTAACCTGCCAGGAAGGTCTCAAAAATACCACACACAAATTCAAAGCAGTCCACGCATGTGTGATGATTTGCAAATGCAGATTCAACGATCCATAAATACATGTAACATCACTCATAAATGTGTGATGGAAATTAATTCAAGAACTTGATATATACATATTTGTGTAAACATTTTTAATTTATTTAGGTAAGATGCTTTTGTGTGAGCATTTGGGGAAATATTTATGCTTTTACTTCTGTATTTATGAATTGTGTTTTGAATTTACGAATTGGATTTTGTAAATGTAAATTGTGCTGTGCATTTATGAATTTTGTTTTATAAATGTATTATTTTTGAGGCCAATCTGGCTCCATATTCAGCACACCGAGAATGATCCAAAAATACTTTATGCTTACAAAATGTCTGTACTCTTCACCTTCACAGAGGATTAGGAAAAGAAAGACTTCCAAATCAAACAAAATTTAAAAAAAAAGTGTTAAATTACATGGCTAAGAAATCTTAATACGTATTAATATTATATTAATAATAAATAATATTAATTAAAAATGGTGGCACCAAATATGTGCACAGACTTTGGGGGGAATACCAAGAGAATAAACAGACAAGATTGGATTTGGATAATCAGATGAATTGCATAAGCATAGGCCTGTCGCAATAATCAATATATCGACTTATCGCGCAATATATGTACATGACCTCAATTTTTGGTGACGCAATATATCGCCCATTATTTTTCCTTAAAAATGAATGTCATCGTGTTTTTTACATTCCACTTGTGCCTGTGTCTTTTGCAGCTTCTCGTACATAACGTTTAGTCATGAGGTGCTAGTTCAAATTTAAAAAATGCTTCAACAAAATAAGTTTCATCTGCAGATATGGTCTTGCTTAGAGATCTGTGCCTTTGTGCATACGGACATCTGACTGCTGAGTAGTGACTGTGTTTTTCAGCAATAGTGTGCACCCTTAATTTACAGAGAAAAGAAGGTCAGGGAGAATCTGTAGATGGACAAATCGCCCTACAAGTTATTTGTGCATTTTTCTTTTTTTCTACTTGTTACTTTGCACTTTTTGTTAGAAAATGTTTATTTACTATTTATTCAAGTTTTTTAAGGAATCTAATATTTTGATACTTTATTTCCATGATCTAAATATTCCAAAAATTTAAAGTTTGTTGTCATTTGGAAGTGTGTAGGCCTTCTTCCATTATTATGCCGTTACATTATGAATATATATTCAGTGGCATAAAGTGGTATTTAAAATGACAATAATAACACTTATCGCAATTATTTGTGGGGCAATATATCGCACAACAAAAAGTTGTTATCGTGACAGGCCTACATAAGCATACTGCTGACATAACCTGTTTAGCAGGATATTTTATGCTCCTGTTTATCTTTATCTTCATTGATCAAAACTGACCACGGCGAAAAACGACCATCAGTGGACTGAGCAAATCTCTTATAGTAAAAATAGTTACAATTTGCAAGAAATACATTCATACTAACAAACTAGCAAATATCATGATAATTCAAAATAAACCTAAACCTATGCTGAACATTAAAACAGAGCTCCAGAGTCCAGACAAAAACCAATTGTAGTTTGGGCTCCTCATCAATGCATCCTATAAATGTTTTTTTATTAGTAAGTAACATTAAATTATATAGGAGGTGTTGAATTGTATCTTTAGCTTTTTGCTTTCTTATGTAGACAACAGGTTAAGTAAAATATGAATAGGCAATATAGCACATATATTTAGCAAAATGCTCCTTTTTGGGGTTTTTTCTAGCCAACTAATGAGCTTATGGACACCAAATGGTTATTTCTGAGCCTGAGGTGGCATTGCTTACAATCTTTACAGGTTTTCCACAGTTTGAAACACTGAATGTGCAATTACATTAGACATTTCAGTAAGTTGTACTGTAGGCTCTCTTATAATATACCTTTTGGTGCCCATTCATGTTTATTTCATACTATAGTAGTAAAGAGAAAGATACAATGAGGTGCTAAAGAGATCACTCACACCACATTAAAGAGTGACAAAACGGCATTTACTGTTTGAATTTCATTATGAATATGGCATAATTTGAAAGTTTATACTTTGTTTATTAAAAAGTAACAGAGCAAAAATCTTATTGCCATTTGACGGCAAGTGCGCTACAAATAATATGAAGCTCACGCATTAACAGAACCCAGCATATAGACTTAAGATGTTGATAACAAGAAGCCATATTAGTATCGATTATAAACGAGAATTGTTAACGATATTGTTAATTTCCACAATGCGCCTGCTGTGAGAGGTTTGGCAAGACATACAGTGGCACCGTATTAAAGGGGTCATATGATACGATTTTAAAGATTATTATTTTGTATATTTGGTGTAACAGAATATGTTGACATGCTTTAAAGGGGTCATATGATGCGATGGGGGAATTCCTCCCATTTTCAAAAATGAGATCCTGAATGAATGTCTGTAAAAATCCTGACTGGAGCTTCACTATAAATAATTCTTAAAAAGAAGGCTTCAAAAAGATCGTAACAGTGATCGGTATCGGCAGATACTGCTTCCTGTGATTGACAATCGGTGATCGGCCCAAAAAATCCTGATTGGAGCACCCTTACATTTAAAGGTTAAATACATTTATAAAATTATCTTTTTTTCAATAAAGTTAGCATGACTATGCTTGTCCAGTCTGTGAATGGAATCTACATCTTTTTATTGAATATGGTCAAAAAGTAGAAAATCAGTACTCGCCATGGGGTGTTTACGGCCTCTTGGTTGAAGTTGCTGAGCACTGACAGGCTCATGTGCAATAGCCCTCTCTGGTGAAGGAGTCTTCTTGTTTTGTCGTCTCAGATCATGGACCGATGGTGCTGCATTGTTGATTCTGCGCATGTATACTTCGACTGGGCTGGGTTTACTTCCACATTTAGCAACAGTGCTGGAGTTTGATGGAGTGTCCAACACTGTAGTTGCCCTATATGCTCTCCAGGTGGATGCAGACTCGCACTCATCCTCTGAGCCATCTTGCCTTAGTGCTCGAGCAGATTCATCGACAGAAGCTGCCCCACGGCTCCTCCAAGTGCTCCTGACAGTGACGTTTCTCATTTCTGGCAAACTGTCATCATATGAGTGGTGGTTGTGGTGGCTTTTCCAGTTGGTCACGGTGGTGCCGCTACTGCTGCTCTCAAACCCAGACTCAATGTCATTGTTCAAATCTGAAGCTTCTGAAGACTGGAGGCTGAAACTGCTTTGAGATAGGAGGGCTGCCTCCACGGGAGCAGTCTCAAGGTAACTGTGAGGTTCAGAGAAGTCAGCATCAGTCTCACCTTGACGTAGCGTGATCTCACTCTTAGGGATGGATATTTCATAAGGTATAGAGATGCTACCTCTGTGCTCACTACTGGGACCGATGACAATATTACTTGTGGAAGTGTGCCTTTCCTTGGAAGGGGGTTCACTTGACAAACTACTGCTCCGACTGCTTGTTCGAGAGGAGCTGGGGTCATTGGGATAGAAGGTGACTCATTCTCCGACTCATTTCTCAAATCTAGGTCATCTGCATGCTTCAAGTAGTCAAAACTCTTCTTCCTGGCCAGTTTGGATGTAAGGCCAGCTGAGAACTCATCCTCAATTCGAAGATCTCTAGAATCAAATCGGCTGTAGTCTGCTGGGCCTAGCTTGCTTTTCTGAAGTTCAAGCTTCTCAGTCAGCTTGAGAATGAATTTCTCATCCTCTCTCTGCCTTTCCAGAAATCTTTTGCGTTCAGTCACAAACGTCTGAGTGAGACCCTTTAGTTTCTCCATCTCTGCAGTAAGAGATTTTTCTGCCCTGCCTAGTCGAGCTTCAGAGGTATCCACTTCCTTGACACGGGCCTCCAAGGCATCAAGCTCTGCAGCAAGCTTTTTGGTCAGGTTTTTCTCCTCATTAAGACTAATGCACAACTGCCTACAGTCTGACTTGCTTTTACCAAAAGCCTCTTCAAGCTTCTCAAGCTCAGTCATTCTCCGCTGAAGACGCTCAATCTCTACTTTAAGATCCTTGGTAAGTTTCTCTTCCTGATCTAATTTCTCCCTAACCTTACGACAAAGATCCTCCGCTTTCCTGACCTCTTCATCTTTGCCTTCAATTTTGAGCAATCTTTTCCGCATTGTCTCCACATCGGTGAGCAGTGAGGAATTACTCCCTTCAGCCTGAATGATTTTGTCCTGAATGTCAAGAAGTTCATCTTCAGCTTTCTGTAGTTTGCCTCTGGCCTCTTCAAGCTCATCCAGACGTCTTCCTAAATTCTGCAACTTGTGTCTCAGATGGCGATTTGTTGTGTCTGTCATTTTTTCTTTCTGATGCTAATCTACTGTGAGGTCTTTATGATTGTTTGATGGAGGGGCACACATTTGTATGGTGGTGTTTTATAATGGTTCCGTGAACTTAAGACGAAATCAAAAAGGACAGGTCCCTGTTTTCCTCCTACCTTCAGGAGGAAGCTTTGAATACTTTTTATTTCACCCTTGTCTCCGCTATCACTGGTGATCCAAGTGAGTTTTGATCACCTGCAAGACAAAAAGAAAATAACACAAAGCTTGAGTGCCTGTTGTAAAACAAATACAAGCATATTTATGACAAAAGATTATGAGAAATGTCTGTAATTGCTAAGTTGTTTCCAAATTTTACACCATCTGAATAATTTACCAAGTTAAACTATGGTTTCCGTAACCACATCAACCATAGAGTTAATGACACAAACCTGAATGCATACTACATCGGTGCATGATTTTACATTCATAAACCTTCAGTTTCAACCTTCAACTTAACCAATTTTTGTGATTTTTAAAAATGTCAAAGCGCACATTAATAAGCCAAAGGAAAGATTAGGCCACTAAGCTAAGGAAGACCTTGGAAGGGGGAAGAGTATGACAAAGGAGAAGGGACATACACTGCTTTGTTGGCCCTCATCACAACCTATGCTAATTGCAGCATCGATTTCTTGCTGAACTTTTGCTGACAGTCAGCAGCACAACTCTCTGATATTGCCCTCTGTCCATGTGCCTCTCTCTATGGCAACATTCATAGTGACAGCGAATGTTCCCTCTAAGCTGCGCGCGAGGCCGCTGTGGCCATGCAGAAGAAATAATGTGCCGCGCACACGCAAAAATGAATTGGGAAAGCCATTTGATTGTATTCTAGTAAAAACGAAAGAATTGCAATGGTCGGGTTAACCGCTATAAAGTTGATGTCGCTATAGAGTTAGAACCGGTAAATACGGTTTACAGGTTTCATAGAAAGAGAATGATGTGCGCCAAATGAGTCGCTGTAGAAATCGAATACTTCAGTGGTTGCGGACGAAATAGCTCAAATCGAGAGCAAATGCAATGACATGAAATAAAACGTCCGTGTTTTAAAGAAGAGTGGCTTGATTAAGTGCTGGAAATAGCGGCTGATGGGCACAGAACGGTAACAAAACTCAGAGACATTTACAGTCACACACAGGTGTATCGTGCAAACTGTACTTCATAGGGATATTTAGAAAGCTATAGAAGAATTCACATTCACGTGAAAATATTTAACTTGCAGATCTCAGTTTAAATGCTTCAGTTTGTTTTGATATTATATTATATTATGTTAGGCCTATATTATAAACCTAATAAATAATTGACCTGGTTTTTTAGTTGAGTCACTTATGCTCCTCAAAGCAGTATTTATTTGATCAAAAATACAGAAAAAAACAGTAATATTGTGAACTATTAGGCTATTGCAATTTATAATATTGGTTTCATATTTTAATATACTTTAAAATATAATGTATTCCTGGTGAAGCAAAGCTGAATTTTCAGCATCATTACTCCAGTCTTCAGTGTCACATGATCCTTCAGAAATCATTCTAATATTCAGATTTATTATCAGTGTTGAAACTGTTGTGCTGCTTAATATTTTTTTTTTATTGTGCTGTTTTGATTCTTTGATTAGGCTAATAAAAAGTTAAAAAGTCTTTTTTAGCAGTAAAAGTCATTACTATCACTTTTTATCCATTTAACACATCCTTGCTGAATAAAAGTATTAATTAAAAAAAAAAGAAAGAAAAAAATGTACTGACCCCAAAATTTTGAATAGTATAGTGTATATTGTAATACAAAATTTATATTTTGAATAAACACCGTTCTTTTTAACTTTTTATTTAACAAAGAATCATGAAAAAAATATCACAGGTCCCAAAAAATATTAAGCAGCACAACTGTTTCCAACATTGATTATAAATTAGCATATTAGAATAATTTCTGAAGGATCATATGACATTGAAAATTCAGCTTTGCTTTACAGGAATAAATACAATTTTAAAGTATATTAAAATAGAAAACTTTTATTTTAAATTGCAATAATATTTCACAAAATTATTTTGTGAAATAATATTCAGTATTTTTATCAAATAGATACAGCCTTGATGAGCCTAAGAAACTTCTTTTAAAAAAATTACTGATCCCAAACTTTTGAACGGCAGTGTATTATACTGTAAAAATATTTTCTCAGTTAACCTAAAATGTACATAATTTAGTTACATCAAGGGTCAAATCAAATATAAATAGCACATTAAAGTGAAAAGTTACACACTTTTTTTTGTGTGTACGTGCTGTACAGGTCTGGTATAAAGAATGTTTTTGCTCAG